GGCCATGGGGCCCGGCGCCTGCAGCGTCCTGCTGGCTGCCCTGCTGCCCTGGGCTGCGGGGGCGTCTGCTGCCGCCGCCAGGTGAGAGGCGCGGGCTGCCAAGGGGGCAGCGCCACCTCACTGCGCGGGGTCATGGGCTGTGCGGGCTTAGCTGGGGGGGTGGTTAGGGTTGCCAACTGTGGCTGAAGTTATTCCAGGAGACTTTTTTTTTTCCCTTAAAGTATCCTATTGAAATCCCCCGGATTGCTTTCAGTAGTCACCAGGAGATGGATGCTGACCCCAGTAGACTCCTGGCCAGTCCAGGAAGGTTGGCAACCCTGCGTGAGGCGCAGGTGCGTGGAGGGGTCGGGTGGGCTCTGGCCTGGGCTGAGCCAGCCCCTTCTAAACCAGTTTCGGAGAAGTGGGGCTGGAAGGGCGCTGTAGAGAGCATCTAGTCCACCCCCCCTGCAGGATCAGGGTCAGCCCTATCCAAGCCATCCCTGACAACCCTCTTCTAAGCTCTGCATAAGTCTGCCCTCCCCTCCCTGAAGACTGTGCTCAGCCCTGTTTTAACCAATATGTAGTGTGTGTATTGGGGTGGGCTTAAGCTGGAGGGTTCGAGGTGCCTGTGTTGACACTTGCTCACAGCCTTGGCTTGCAGGGACAGTAGGGGGGATGCTGGTTATGGCTAGAACATTTGGGAGAAGGAGGGAAAGCACTGGGACCAATAGTCTCTGAACACTAAAGGGCTGTAGCTTGAGGGTGGTTTGTCATTTCAGTGACTATCTCCAGGGTTTATTCTTTTTATCTGCAGCACATCCCAATTTTGCTCAAAGGCATCCAGGGCGGATCCAGAATCGGGCTGCACTTGCAGTGCCGTCTGATTCCTGCTCTACTCAAAAGTTTGCAACCAACTGCCTGGCAGTGGCAGCAGCATTTCTACTCAGCCACTGCTGAGGGAGTAGCTTGACTATGTGGCTCATTGCCATCTACCTGGTCCCTACTAAACTCTTCATTCCTCAGCTGTTAACAACCCTCTCTTCTTTTTTTATGGTCTTGATGTTCCACCCAGCAAGCTATCTTTTGTTTTGTCATTCTGCTGCCTGTTCACTGTTTCTGGCCATGAAGATCCTGTCTTTAACTCATTCCAATGAAGTTCTATTTGTTTTTTGCTTCCATCTTCAACTGAATAATACAGCCCTAGGCCACTGACCTATTAGGAAAGCTTTTAGGTTCTTTCTAACTGGAGAAAAATAGGTGTTGTGTTAAATACATCTTGCCATCTGTGATTTTTTTTTCCCCCCCCTCACCACCACCTTTTTGAAATTGTAGATCCACCCATGAATGCACATTCATTTATTTCAGGTAAGTTTTCCTCTTCTCTCCCTACTCCAGTATATATAAGGATCTGTTAATGTGTTCAAATACAGGAAAGGTGTATTTCTGCGTGTGTGTACTTATGTGTATACTTAAGTATATACAATTTAGTGCACGAATCTCATGGTATTGAGATGTGTGTATTAAGTATATGGGAATGTGGAAAGGGACCCAAGCTGAGCAGTTCAGACTCGTATTTCACACAGTGCAAAATACTGGATCTAGGGTTTTCAGCTGATCCATTAAAAGATAGTGGGCTTTTGTGAAAGGCAGATTTTTAGCTAGCTGGGTAGTGTGCAACTTCATGGGTGGTCAGAGCTGAGATTTCATTACATGCCATTGCTACTTGCACTATGTATTATACACAATTGTGCTTTTTTCCTTCTTCAAACCAGCTTTACCTCACTGGCT